TTTGGGAAGTACCATCAGCCCCAACGGGCTGATCTCTGACGAAATCTCAGCACGAATACAAGGGGCTCGTTTCGCATTTGTTAGTTTACGCCGACTCTGGCGTAGACGAGATGTTCGACTATCGACCAAAGGGCGGGTGTACTGCTCATCAGTCCGCTCCGTCCTCCTTTATGGTTGTGAGACCTGGCCACTGAGAGTGGAAGACATGAAAAGACTAGCTGTCTTTGATCATAGGTGCCTGCGTTCTATTTCCCGTGTAAAGTGGCATAATAAGGTGAGCAACATGGAGGTTAGGCGTAGAGTTCTAGGTAAACAGGGGAAATCAATCGACGAAGTCGTGAAGCTACAAAGACTGAGATGGTTAGGACATGTGTTACGTATGCCAAGCCATCGCCTCCCTCGACGAGCAATGTTAGCGGATATAGGGTCAGGCTGGAAAAAAGCTAGCGGCGGTCAAACAAAAACTTGGCATCAGTCAATGAAATCCACAACAGTTGGTCTAAGCCACGTAGGAAGGTGTAGACTTCCAGGCTGGGGTCCTCGGGACGGTAAAAATCTATGGTTGGAAACAATTGGTGACATGGCTCAAAACCGTTCTCAGTGGCGCAGATGCATCCACTCCCTGTGACTTATGATCTTCAATGAAACTGTTTTGTATTTCTTTATTACTCCTTTGTCTCACACCTCTGCTCACTGTCTCTATTATGCTTTTCTTGTACTTTCTTCTCTTGCTTCGCGTGCTACACGGAGTGTGGCGACTTGAACTTCCGCACATTTGTGCAAAGTTCTATGTCGAAAACAGACAGACAGACAGATGGTTTGTACCTAATTTTGCGTCGTAATCAGCACCCTTCAATCGACTGACTGAAAAAGAGAGGAAATCCTCATGGATTGTAGAATGTCAAAATGCATTTGACAAATTAGTATTTCCCGACACATCATCGACTGCGGGCCCGTTCATTCTGGATATCGATGTCATTTGTACAAAGTTCTATGTCGAAAACAGACAGACAGTCGGATTAACTTACTCAAAGTTTAGCCTGGACCCATCATTCCTTAAACATTTAGTGTTATTTTTTTATTTTTCAATTAGCCCTATCTTTTCGGGTGTCTTGTTCATTAAACTGCTGTTTTTGAGTATATCTCTTGTCACATATCTTTCTCTCTCTCTCTCTCTCTCTCTCGATAAGCCTTATTTGACAAGGGTTGGACATGATATAGACACACACTAACCCATTGTAGTCGTTACAATCTAGTCAGCACATGTTTTGTTTTACACCCAGAGTAGTAGTAGCAGTTGTTGTGTTAGTCTGTGATTTACAATTGACCTGTGGGAACTTGGCATTTGTCCAAAACTCAGTTTAAGTGTGAATTAAATTAAATAGACTTCATGTATGAAAGTCAACATGTAAGTCATACACATACACACACACACACAACCCTTACAAGTTTCTACTGTGTCATATTTGTTCTTTAAGTGGAAGTGTGTTATTACATTTAAGTATATAAGATGCCTTATTTATCATGTATATGAATATGGCGACTGGCCCTACTCAGGTAGGTAGTTATCTGAGTTCTAGTGGGAAGTCGTGACCAGTGAGTGAGGTTCAGCAGGTCGGGTATGAGGACAAATACTCGCCGAAGACATTGGCTAGCAGTCGCGCTATGTTGTCATTTGGCAGAAGTTGGAATTCATGCATTGACCATTAGATCGGGTCCCAGTGGCTTAGGGGTCTACGAGCTAGCTCGCCTTGTAACCAGAGGGTTGTGGGTTTGAACCCTGTTGGTGGGTGGGTGCGTACTACTGCAGAGTCGGAAACTAGGCCGACGAAACAGCTGTCCAGTACTCCCTGTTGGTTTTCCCATGGTTCTCCAACCGATTTCAGCTCGTGATGAAATCCTGTAACTATATATATATGTTTTAGTGCTTGGAACGTATCGGCAGTATTAACTCTTGCAAATATTCACCAGTGACTGGTGGTTACAGGACGAAATCGATTGGAGTTGATTCTAGTGAGAAGTCGTAACCAGTTGGGTGGGGGGGGGAGGGTGTAATCTGGTTGGGAGTGAGGACAAATACTTTTCACGGATATGAACATCGAATGGTGTCAGTCGCACTAAAAACACGATTTGGTAGAAATTAGAATTACATGCATTTATTGCCCTTGATGAATTTGAATAAAACAAAAACAATAGCAATTTTTGTAGAATAAAATGGTACCATCATTGTTTATTTCGTTGGCTTCTCATCAGCTGCTCACAGCCCAAAATCACCATTAATTATATTTACAGAAACAGTTTTTTTAACATACTTGCACAGAGTTCATTTTTAAATTTAAAAAATCAATCAATATATGCATAGAATGCATAGAGTAATAATCATACATAATGAAAACTTTCTACATTACATAATCAGATGAAAATATGCAGTTACTAGAGTGGCAAAGAAAGACTGATAACCTCCTCTTTCTGAACGCATAAATCACGTTTCAGTCGTTTGATGGAGATCGCTTCGGCAAACTTAACGCGAATTGAACTCTTTTGCCTATTGATAATTTTGAAGGATGCTGTGACGTCCACCGCATGATCCGTGTCAAGGAGATGCTTGGCAATGGCACTGTTTAAAGCATTTATTCCCTTTAGACATAGGCTTTTAGGTACATGTTCAGAAAATCGTAGATATGCCCTTCTTTTTCTTTTCTTCCAATGTAACTGCTCCCTCAGATACATATAAATTTATGCATACACTTGGAAGCATATCTGTCGATATTCTGATTGCACCAAAGAGCAAGCTGTTCGATAGACGACAACTAGCTTAGTTGCAGGATAAGCTCTGTCTGGCGACCTCCTCAATCTTCTGTTGACAATTGCTGTAATATTTTCACAGTGGGAAAAAGCTTGTCTACGTTCAGCTTGATTTTAAAGGTGATAATATAACAGCAATTTTCGACACTGCTAGTCACTAGTCCAACAGACAAGATTTTAACCAAGATTATAACCATAATGTCTGGTAAATACTGAGATGTTGAAAACCTTTGTATTCTAGATTTCATTATTTTTAATTATCATGTGATTAGATCTTCTTTAGATCACATCTGTACGTATTTCTCTTGTCCAAGATGTTTTACTGTAGTATTTAGCGCATAGAAGCCGACTGCCTAGCATTTCTATGCATGTCTTTACACTTAATAATAATAAGTTACACATCTGAATTCGATGATTCTACACCTACGTCCACTCCTACTCTAATAGGGTTGACTGCTTAAAAGTTCAGCGTCTAGATCAATAAACCACAATTTCCTGGGTTTGGTAGGGGGATTTTCTTTTGAGGAAAAACGCATTAATAGTTTCGCTTCCCATTAAGTCTCAGTCAGACTGTTTCAAGTTAAATAGCTTCCTGTCGGATATCAGTCAATGGTCTAAACTAAATGGCCTCATGCTGAATCCCTCAAAATACCAGACTATTGACTTCTCCTTTAGGCATAAACGAGATTTACAAACACTAGTAAGCACTCATGAAGCCTGTAGCATTGAGGGGACTAAAGTTGGAACTAAGTCTAATGCAAAATACCTCGGATTAGTTCTATCTTCCGACCTTACTCGGTCATCTCATATCCTAACGATTTCTAAGAAAGTGTTTCGTCTAACCTACTACATTAAGAAACTCAGACTAACTGGAGTCACTCAACCTCTGCTTTCACAATTTGTCAACCCTCGTATCCTACCTATTCTACTTTACTACTCCCCATTAGTCTTTCCTGGGTTACTGAAAAAGCACTATGCCATTCTGAGAAGGATGCTGAAAGTAGTTAGTAGAGTAGGACTGGTGGTATAAAACTCAGTCAGCTCGTCACTACATTAGTAGAAAGGCATCTTAATACATGCGAAAAATGATCTATTACCATACTCTCCGACCCCCAACACCCGCTCTATTCCGAACTCTCTCCTTGCATCTCATCAGGTAGAATCAGAAATCAGTACAAAATAATATATGCTCGTACAACCAAGTATAGGAACTCAATGATACCATATTTGGCCCGTGTTCTAAGTGACAGCGAAACCTATGACTTGCTTTGTTGTTAATAACATAATTTTGGCCCTCTTATTTCTTCCTTATACTCTCTCATTTGTATTTTATAGTGAACAACCTTCTTAAACATACTTAGCTACCTAAAATTATTATCATTGGCTTACTTTTTATTCTTTATTCTATTCCTTCTTTTGTGTATCTACTGGTCCCGACTATATTATCACTATTAGTATTACAAAATTATCCTGCCAATAACCTTCATGTAATATTAGCTTTGTGATTGTTTTTTTTGTTCGGCAATATTAAAACTGACAATCTTGGTTGTGAACGCCATTATCACCATCTTAAAATTTTTTTTGTATCATTCATGATTACTCACACTACCACAACAAACACTGCATTAGTGCTGACAATAAAAAATTAAAAAATCCTGAAATGTTTATTTTATGATTGTTTAGTGTAGTTCAATCAGTTTAGCTGATCATCTTGGCTAGAAACATTCTTAAGAACATCTCATAACTTCTTGTATGATTATAGCTGTTACTGTTCACCACGCATACACATATCATAGCTTCCACTAACAAATACTGAAATATTTTTTCATTATTGGTGTTTATCTTCCTTTCTACTTGGTATTTTTATTTGCATTTTTTGTTATTTTTGTTGTTTTTTATATTTATTTTTTTTGTAATACTCCTTTTAAATGTGCGATGAAATTAGATGCAATATTGTAGATATGTGCTGAAAATTCCAAACTGAACGACTGGTACTGTTTCTGGAATAAAAGCGAAATTATTATTATTATTAAATCTTGTTAGTAGTACACGTCAGATATTTTTTACATTTGAAGCTGAACTGTGGATTTTCACGAGTCATGTGCCTGCCACTGCAGAATGTAATTTAATAAAGTAATTCAGTAGTAATTCCAATATTCTTTTTCTCTATATATACTTCTATTGTTATTTTACAGACCGATGATCAGGGAGTGGCTACCTCAAATATGACAATGAGAAATTCAGCTGCTTTAATCTCTGAACAATGGAGGTATTCTGGTTCACATCATCGAAAGCTGAAGCAGATTAAAAAATTCTATAAAAAATTGGAATGTTACATCTCTGACTGGTAGGTGGTGGTTCTGATTGATTGTCTTTCAAATTGCTTTTTAGCACTCTAGTTAAAGTGATCAACATTTTATGTATTTATTTATTTTTAGTATATTATTGAAGTGTGGAGTAGAATTCACTATTCCTCGGTCCATCTTTTGGTGCTGAAAAGCTTTCTTTTTAATTCATGTGTATAATCCCCCATGTGTCATCTGAAGTGGTGACAACTAGTGGTGTCCTCCTAGATGGGATGTCCAGTATCCCCATTTCTACTCAATTTCATCATAGATGTTGTATTAATGAACTTAACCCTAACTCAATTCAGAGATTGACTTGTTACCTGGGAATAATCTCGTTGACTTAGAATATGCAGATGATATAGTCCTGCTCCTAGGTGAAGACGCTGACAAAATTGAGCAGAGTCTTCTGAAGACCTTGATCAGAAAGCAATCTTCGAATGCCTGGCATGTGATTTGCTCCCATCAAATGTAAGGTGATGGGGCTACAGGACTGGACTTCATTAACTCCTAGCTTTAGAGATAGAAAGGAGTGAAGTGGTATAGAGCGTTGATCACTTCTCTTGTCTGGGCAGTTGCATCAGCCAACCCCAACGGGTTGATCGCTGACGAAATCTCAGCACGGATACAGAAGGCTAGTTTAGCCTATGCCAGTTTACTCCATCTCTGGCTTAGCAGATGTGATATCCGACTGGCTGTCGACCAGAGGGCGTGTATACTGCTCAGCAGTTCTCTCCATCCTCTTTTATGGCTGTGAGCGAGACATGACCATTGAGAGTGGAAGACATGAAGAGGCCAGCTAGTTGTCTTTGATCATAGGTGTCAGTGTTCTATCTCCCGTGGGAAGTGGTTTAATAAGGTAAGCAATATTGAGGTCAGGCGTCGGTCGAGTGCTAGCTAGGTAGGTGGGAGCGGAAATCATTTGACGAGGCTGTGAAGCTTCATAGACTGAGATGATTAGGTTATATGTTGTGTATGCCTAGTCATCGCCTTCCTCGACCGACGGGCAGTGTTAGCTGACACTGGGTCAGGCTGGAAAAGAGCTAGCGGCGGTTAAACCAAAACATGACTGCATCAAATAATGAAATCCACTACAGTTAGTTTAAGCCAAACAGTCACTTAGGGAGGTGTGCACTGACTTCCTGATCGGGTCCTCGGGACGGTAAAAACCAATGAAGACTTGAGACAATCGGTGATATTGTCTCTAAATCGTTCTCAATGGCTGGCGCAGATGCACCCACTCCTTGTGACTTATGATTTCCAATGAAACTATATTGTTCTGCGTTATTACTACTCCTTTGTCTCACACCTCTGTTTTCTGTCTCTATGATGCATTTTTTCCACTTTGTTCTGTTGCTTTGTGTGGTACATGGAGGGAGTGTGGCAACTTGAACTGTTGTACATCGGTGCAAAGTTCTATGTCGAAAATAGACATACAGACAGTTTTAAAGAAATACAAGAGTTAGAAAGGCAAACAAAACTCAAGTCAGTGAGAATCAATAAGATTTTTACCATGATATTATTAGAAGTGGTTGAATAATTTTCTTTTGTGCGTGTATATCTCAGGTTTCTTTAACTGTGAATCGCTAAAGCTTTAGTAGTTGCAAAGGAGACGAAAGCGTATTGCTTTTAGCAGATTGTTCTTCACTTTGTAGATTATCATTGAAAGAGGCATCTTTTTGTTTACTCTCGTTGACCTCTACTGATTTGATTCTTGTTTGTTTGCTTGTTTTTCTATCTCCATAATAACTCTTGTATCTGCTTAGAACTCGTACAGCATTGCATATTTTCCTTTGTTTGTATATATTCTGAGTACAACTCATTAATTTTGTTATATAACCCTTTTTTATGAAAAGAATAACTGCATATAAATGTGATTGTGCACCTAAAGTAGAATATGAATTCATCAGAAAGAACCTCTTCTCTGAACTACGTATTTTATTTTGTTTAACTTTCATTTTAACTCTTGACTCTTCGACTTTTTCTGTCTGTGTGTGTATGAACCTTAAATCTCTCAGTATAAAATTTGATACGTCCAAAGATAATTTCTCTGATGTGTTTTGCATTCTCAGTGCAATCATAATACGTTATGTCATATTCTTGGATGTTGCAGAAGGCGGCTTGCTTATTCCTATAGAGCCGTAGTTTATTGCTCATCTGAAGAATAAAATGTTTGCTGCACATTGTGGAAACGTAGAGAAGTTATCCAGTATTTGTCCAAATCTAGACAGTTTTGGCTTTTATGGGCTTGAGTATTTCTGAACTATGTGGACTAGAGTGAAATCGAGGCATAATTAACATGCCGATCAGTTTGATAAGTATATTGAAGACGGCTATGTATTGACAGGTTTAGTCACGAGTTGATATCAATTATGGAGCCATTGAAAACCTGGGAGTACTGAACAGATGTTTCGTTCTAGTTTGGGACTCCTCATCAGTAGGAACCCAGGACCTGGTTACACGGCGACGTCGTAGACCATTCAGTCACTGGGCCCGCATCCAATAGCCTATGAATTTCATTCTTTACCAATCTGGAATATATATATATCTCGACCTCCAGCTGATATTATAAATGAGTAACTGGTCTTTTACCTGAATTGGCCATTGGATCGGTTTCCAGTGGCTGGATTTATCTACTAGCTCACCATATAACCGGAAGGTCCTGGTTTCGAAGTCCACTGGGTACGCACTGATGAAGAGTCCCAAGCAGCAGGATGAAATAGCTTTCCCAGTACCTTCAGGTCTTCCTGTATTTCTCTAAGCGATGTCACCTTCTGGTCATACCTGTAACCAATCAAACCCCTGCGACCCAGCATTTGATAATGCATTTGTCTTTATTCTGATAAGCCCGATTATTAAATTTTTTTGGCCCAAGTGGTCTAGTGCATAACGCTTTGGGGTTTGAAACTATGGGTACTGGGTTCGAGCCTCGGTGGGAACATCATCACTCACTCACCGAGAAATGCAGGCACATCCAGCTGATGAGTCCCAAAAAGGACGAAATGCGCATCCTGGATTCCACTGCTAGTCACCATCCACCAATTAAGCCCGATTATTACTGAGTTATTCTTTTCTATTCAAATAAAGTATAATTATATTTTAATAGTTTACACACAATGATAAGTTTTGTTATTGGTATAAAAAACAATTCCAACAGTGGTGTGAATACGGGCAGTAATTTTGCTCGAAATATTACCAATAACAGAACTTATCATTGTGTGTAAACTATTAAAATATAATTATACTTTATTTGATCTAATCCACAATGCTCAAACTTTTTACTGATATTAATTCTTTTCTATTCGTTAACAAAACTTTTTTTTAAACTTTACATAATTTTGAAATGTTACTTTGTTCAGCGCACATATACTAGACATATTATTTTCGCTTATCACAGTTCTCCAAAAACTGGTCCTATACTGAAAATGACCTTCATTTCGACCATATCTCTACTAGACATCTTTCTATGTCTAACAACAATAACAATAATAGTAATCATACCTTTATTCTGATACATCCCATTATTAAGTGGTATACAGCGTGTTTTTCTATTTTGACTGTCTGTCATGGCGATGCATGAGTCATCATAACAAGTTAACACTGTGATTAGTTGGTTTCTATTTTACTAAAGTGCATCGGTTTTAATGAGTCATTCTCTGTATGTGCGTCGTCTTACTTTAGTGACTGGATCCGTATTTAATATTATCTTCCCTCCAGTTTATATTTAATAAATAAAGGTGACATGTAGGTCACATGTCACTAGGCTCTATGTTGGTTTCTATACTTCAGGTAAACATTTGTGTTACTGGTTGGTGGTGATAAACATCGAATTGACCTTGAATCACCACCATCATATTGACATGAAGTCAATTGGATGATGGCGACTAGCAGTGGAATTCATCAGGGTGCGCATTTCGTCCCATTTGGGACTCGTCAACTGGATGTACTCGCATTTCCCAGTGAGCGATGGCCCAAGTGGTCTAGTGGATAATAACGCTTTGGCGTTTGAAACTACGGTCAGTGGGTTCGAGCCTCGGTGGGAAAATCATCATTGACTCACCGGGGAATGTAGGTACATCCAGTTGACGAGTCCCAAATAGGATGAAATGCGCATTCTACTGGATTCCACTGCTAGTCACTCTTTACCAATTGACTTTAGGTTACATGACCAGACATCGTCGAAACATCTGCACTAGGAGCCAACATGTCAACCTGAGAACGAACACTTCGGTCCAATCAATCTATGGGAAATTCTAGATTGAATTTTAAACAATAATTTAACAATCATCTATGACAACTCATCAATTTTGTTACTATTCTTTTATATCAACATCCTATTCACCTGAACTTACTAATTGTATTTTCGCTTGGCAAAGACTGCCAGACTAAAATTGCCTCATGTACTCCGAGCTACAAATATTTCTAAACCTTCAAGTATTGGTTTGTAGGGATTTGGTTGATTAGTTTCAGGATTTCATCATGAGCTGACATTAGTTAGAGAACCATTGGAAAACCTAGGAGTACTGGAAAGCTGTTTCTTCTAGTTTGGGACTCTTCAGCAATCCTGGGTTCGAACCCCGGTGGGTGCGTACTGATGAAGAGTCCCAAAATAGGACGAAACAGCTATCCAGCACTCCCAGGTTTATCAATGGTTCTCTAACTAATTTCTTAACCTTCTTTGAACAAGGTCATCTATCATATCTCGATGATTAACATCAGTGAAATAGTAATACAGCACCTGAGGAAAGCAGCAACAAATAAAAGAGTATTCAATGCATCAAAGATACACTATATCTCTTCACAATCACCCCCATTTTACGTTTGGGATGGCAAGGATAAACTACCTAATTAATTTAGCCTAATTTATGTGTGTATCTACCCGTTTGACTACCCCCCCTTCCCGCAGTCACTTACTTTGGGTGTACAATTAGACAGGTTCATCATCATATCCCTGAACATCATCCTGTACACTTGTTAAGCAAGCGGGCAAATAAGTTCCGTT